TAGCCGAAACCGGCTAAACCGCGCGCCCCTCCCGCGATTTCATAAATATAGATATATGAACCGAGGGTCGGTGGGGCCTTGGGTGGTGGTGGGTGGGTAATATTAAAAATGCGAAAGTTTAGATGGATGGATGGATGGATGTTTGTTAGAGTTTTTAAGCTTAACGGCTGAACGGCTCTCGATGAAATTTGTCAAAAATGTAGAAGAAAGTTTGGAAGAACGCATAGGCTACCTACTTTTGTTTTTTTTGTAATTTCACGCGGACGGACTCCAGACGAAATCTAGTTTACTATATTTAACGAAGCGAATTTCAAGATTTAGCGTAAGCCTACTTAGTGTTGGTTCTCTTTACTGTCATATAAAACAATATTTGACAGGGTAAATATATCTATCAATTTAAAAAAGCACAAACAATTGGGTTATAAAATCAACATAACATTGAAGTATGACGCACAAATATCTGAATAATTTCTTAAATATCAAACTTACCATAATAAAGTATCAATTTAATGCACAAACCACAATAAGACAACATAAGTAATGTCAACACGATAGCTAGACAGTAAATATCACGAGCGTTCTTTCTAGAACCTTCTATCAAAGACACCATGTTTTACATATCAAACTCAAGATGCAAATGAGAGCCTGAAGTATTAAATGTATTTACAGATTACATTTGTAAGGTAGAAAAAATGTTATTTGTGTAAGCATTCGCTTATTCAATAGATACATAATTTATTAATGACTAATTGTATTGTAAAAAGATTTGAAATATTGTTTGTTAACAATGAAAGTTAATCCTTTTAATTGGTTTAAATCATGTGTTTACTTTGTCTGTCTCCATTGTTGTATCGTGCTGTATTCATTAAAACACAATTAACATGGCGCCGCGACTACTAAGTTAATTATCAAATAAAAATAAAATCTAAATAATGAAGTGAAAATTTTCGACCTCTGATGTTTTTATAAATGTTCCTATAACAAAATAGTGATATATTTACGCGTTTATACTACTAATAAGTCTTCATAATAATAAGATGAATAAATTATCAAAGTAATGCAATATGATAGTGTTCATTCTATTGTTTAGAGTATTTAAGAATTTGTATATGTTTCGAATGTAGCAATCAATTAAATTCTTTTGTAATCATTACATCACTCCATTACTAAATGACGATCTGAGAAACACAGAGCTTTAATATATTTTGGGTAAATAAATATTTGATAACCCTGCCCAGTCCTCTGAGTTACAGGACTGAGTATATACATATATATTTTACGTAAGACTAGTTGCTCTAATTAAGTATAAAAGAAGGCAAACGAGCAGCGGATCGCGTTATTTATTTAGAGGCTAATGGCATATTTTTTCAACTTCCTTTACAGTTGTGTAACAGACATAAATGCGAAAGTTTAGATGGATGTATGCTAGAGTTTGTAGCCAAAACGAATCTTGATGAAATTTATTATAGATACTCTCTCTACATAGTCTGGGAGAACAGATAGGCTACTTGCTTTTGTTTTTTTAATTCCACGCGGACGGAGTCGCGGGCAGAAGCTAGTAAAGACTAATGTAAAGTATACCTGTATCAGAGTTGTCGTGCGAGGTGCGGTGTGCGGCGTGTGCGGCGTGTGCGGCGTGCGGCGCGTGCGGGGCGTGCGGCGTGCGGTGCGGGGGCGCGCGCCGCACGGCCGGCAGGCTCAGCAGGCTGGACAAGCTGCGCTGGTACATTTGTGGCGACGCCTTACTGTACACAATCATATTTAAACAACCTATATTAAAATATAATTAACTCAATTCTCTCAATATTTTTAGCAGTTTATTTACTAGTTTTAATGTTTCATCATAATCTTCCTTATCCTACTCCCGTAGCGGCGCAACAGGTTTTTGTCCTCCACATAACTCTATCATACGTCATCTCAGTCATCACTCCCTTCTTGATCATGTCACCTTTCACGCAATCCAT